GAAACATTCTCTCTGTACACGTTATCTAAATAAAAAATGTTCAATGTGTTCGTCGCGGCAGAAGCGATTCAAGCGATTTATGTAACGACATATGCGTAAGGCATCAAGAAAAATTAAAATGTTGCGAGTACCATTAGAGACAGTCTTCCTTTTGTCACAAAAATATAACAGACTGTCGTCCACGTAAGTCCCGACAGTTTTAGACGAGAAGAAAACCGTCAATCTCTGCACGTGTAAGCTGCATACTAAAACAAATTCTACCTCGTAAGCTTAAAATTAAAATTATCCACTAATTTATTTTATCTGATAATAGGTACGTTATGTTCGGATTCAAGGGGGCGATTAAAAACAATTATGCAAGAGCAGAGAAGGAAAACACAATTTGCGTCAGCTCATCAAACATTCGCACAAGAACTTACATGAGAATTGTTATACAAAGCCGCCCGAGATATACAAACGACATAATAATTTCCGCACGTGTCGTACTTATTATCTCGTTACTACGCATACATATATATACTTATTGTTTCGACTATACCTATCGGTGCATACGAGGCTTATACTCAATATTTTATTGCACTTTTACATCGAGCCGCCTCTTCATCTTCTTTTTTTAATTAAAAAATCAATATACAAACAATTAAAACTCACTACGATAAAGGATTTCGGGACCGTGATGTGTTTACTAGGATTTAATTCTCGTTCTCCTTTTCATAGAAAATGATCTAAAAAAAAAAAAAAAAAACATTTGCGGATTTACAGAGAGGGTGTATCTTTGTGGTAAAGATTATATTAAACAGCACGCTTGCGCATGTATATATCGTGTATAACTGCGAAATACAATCGGATCATTAACACGTGATCTCTCTACTACCCAGAAGCCTTTATACGTTCTATAGCAAAAGTAGCGACTTTCTCTATTTTTCTCGTTCCCATTTCAGTTGCGCTTCATGTTTAGCCTGATAATTTAATCGCGATTTGCCGTTCGGCTAAACTGATGAAAATTCCCGTCACTCCTGTATTAAGTAGTCGGATGATATGAACTAATTAGCGCCGCGTCCACCGGCTCCATACATGACGGACATGTCAGCGAGCGCAGCAACCAGTCGTCAATGCAGACCGCGTGATAGGTGTGCATGCAGGGTAAATAGCGCACTTCTTCGCCCGCCTGCAGCTCCATCATGCATATCACGCATTCGCCCTTCTTAGCACCATCGTACTCTCGCATCGGCAAATGCTGTATCAGTCCTATACGTTTCGCAATTCTCACTTGTTGTTCCTCTTCGCTCAAACCGGCAGAGCCAGTACTCTGTACCAAATTGACTCCGATCCCACGACCAATATTCAAGTTGGTAGATTGTAAATGACGTTCTCTCGTAGCGATTGATGGATAATAAGCTGCTTGCTGTAGAATATTAAAAAATTAATTAATATTCAACCACAACATTTTTCCACATATTATTTGTAGATCCTTACAACTTGTAAAAGTACAAAAGTTATTTAACAGTTATTTAACAGAATATACATATACTATTTCATTGTTGAATAAGAGTATAAAGTAAATGTCATTGCATTTACTTTATACACAGCAGCATTCAATATAATCCAGTGTAAATCATTTTATTAGTTATAATCTCTATATTTAAAATCAAATCTATTTGACTGATATTCATAATTCATTCTTATATTGAGAATACCTTTAGTTCAATCTTAAGATATCATAAACCAATCAATGGCTGCATTCAGCTGACTCAACAATTGAGTCTGCTGAACACAGCCTATATGCTGGTATAGTTGATTCTTATTTTAAGACCATCTTAAGTAATATCTTAACATGCTAATACACATGGCTCTTCTGATTGGTTCATAACATGTTAAAACTGTACTTAAGATAGTTTTTGATATAGTATGAATATTGACATCTGCATTAACATCTTAAGATATTATTTCAGATGATCTTAAGATAAGAACTAATGTGACTAACTGTGAATACTAGTTTATAGGGCTGCATTAGCATCTCAAGCATTTAAGACAGTTTTAAAATAAGTATGGATTATGAATACCATCTTATATATATTCAAATAAAGAAAAAATGACAGACAAAGGAAGAATATCACAGACAAGTCAGAGAAAAGATATATTCAAGGAGACAATATTATCACTATTTGTATCATTCTACCTTTATTTTATGTTTAATAAAGAATAAAAATAGAATGATACAAAGAATGATGCTAATAGCATCTTCTCAAATGCACTCAAAGATTATAAAATATTTATAGTAAGATAAAACAGACAACAAGGATGATACGGCAGCAACAACAATAAGACAGTAACGACGATGTACGTGAATTACGTTGTAGGGGATTGGTGGTCCAAGGCCCTCCTGCGAAGATCCGCTCGTGGACACATTGGGTTCGGGATTATTGCTCAGGAGAGTGGTATTGTCCTGTTGGTTGCCGGTGGCACGTTTCAAGCAGTTGCCCATGATTTTCTCTCTCTTTCTCTTTCTTTCTCTGTCTCTCTCTTTCTCTCTCACTGGCGGTGAGCTGTCAGCTTTGCAAATCGCTCACACGTCGCATTCGCACGTCTACTCCAGATTCCGCTCTCTCGTTCCGCGCGAGCGATTACAAGCTTCCGTGGAGACACGGTGATGATGGTGACAGCGCGACAGCGATTTTTGACGCACATTCGACGACCGTGCTGCTTGCCATTTCACCTGTATCGCCGCTTGTCGCAGCGCGACAACATTCACCGATGATTTGTCGCGAGAAGCAGCACGGATGACGCTTGGCAAACGTGATCGAGATGTAACGATGCCGTCGCAATAGTCGTCCAAGCGCAGCCGTCACATACCCCTCACTGATTACTGATAAGCAGCAGCAGACTCACTATTCACTACCAGCTGAGCGTCGCCATGATGCGCGAAACATAGCAGGCGATTCGTCTCATTCGTCTGCGCATCATTGTGGTAACGGAAGTTGGTCGATTTCTACGCATCACTCTCGCAACGATTTCTTCGATTTTATCTCGGCTTTGTGCGCAGAGTGAATTGAATGATTCCTTAATTATCTCTCTCTCTTTCAGCTCCTCTCGAATTTTCTGTCGCTAATGGAAGTAATGGAAATAACAAGGTGTGCTATTGCGCAGGTATTTTTGTTGGCCAATGAGAAAACATAACTGAACTCAGCCATCTTGGGCAATTTAAATGCATATAATAATTAAGGGAAAATTCATACAAAAAAAGTGAAATGATAACTATGGTGAATAAATGTTCCACAATAAATATATATGTTGTATATATAATGCATAACATTTAAAATGTTAATCTTTATTAATTAATCTTTATTAATATTTCTATATTATTTCTATATTATTTAGAGGTTTTATTTATACTGTATAATTCATAAATATATTATATTATTTTCTTGATGTATTATTTTTATCTATGTCATTGACGAGAATATTGAATATTTTCCATTTGATGACAAAAGTCAACACAAGCGTCATTCTATTCTTGTTGATATTCAGAGAATGACAAAAATAAAACAAACTTGTGTCGACTTGTGTCATCAAATGAAAAGCACTCATATTAAAGATCGACATTCTTATAACTCCGGCACACCAGGGTTCGACTGTAAGGAATTTCGCACAATAAAAGAAACAGGGAACAGAGAAAATAAGAATTTCAACCTATTAGAAATCATGTATTGTGGAATACACAGCACAAGGTCGACTATAAGTCGATTCTGAATCGACTATAGCTTCTAGACATCTGAAAAATGGACGTCTGTAAGTCGATTTTAGATGACTTGGAGACGTCTCTAAGTCATACAATGTTCCACTTTAAAGACTGTAAGCCGACTTTAAGTCAACCATTCTAGGTTGTGATCTGATTCATGCCCACAACGCTGAACAGCATTCATCCTTGTTTAATTAAACAACAAGGATGAAATGATTCCACATTTAAGTTTTATGAGCGTAAATCGCACTAGACATCCTAAAATCGACATTAGAAAGATATTTGTACAAAGTCGACTTACAATCTGAAGGCCTGACTTAGTAAAATCAACTTACAGTTGACATATCAACATTTGTACTGTTAGCGCAGTTTCTAATAGGTTGAAATTCTTAGGAGCTCTGCACAATAAAAGGAATAGGGAACATAGAATAGAGAATAAGAATTTCAACTTAAATTAGAAACTGTGTATTCCACAATACATGATTTCTGATAGGTTGAAGGTCTTATTTTCTGTTCTCTGTTCTCCGTTCCTTTTATTGTGCGGAGCCCTAACACCTGTCATTCGACAGTAACAGGGGAATACTCAACTGTAATTGGTTCTTACATTCTGATCCGGTTTAAACTCTCGGTAGAAACTAATCTTCGAGGTTGCGAGTTGACTTGCGCAGTAGGAGAGTGAATTGTAGTCAAAATTTGATTGCTATTCCAATATGCCAACGCTATTATACGCAGGAAAGTGTATTGTGGCCAAAATTTGATAGGTTGTTTCCAGTATCGCCATTACGCACAATGGCTGCGTTCAGCGGACTCAACAGTTGAGTGAGCGCTTGCTGCTATTGATGTATTTTCTTTTCTAGATTTAAAATGATTGGATGATCTAAAACAATACACCAATAACAGCGAGCGCTCACTCAATTGTTGAGTCTGCTGAATGCAGCCAATGATACACATTGGGCGAGTTCAAGTCAGTAAAAAAGTGGCTAGGTCTGCTTGCTTGAGTAATTAAACATAATTGGTTGGATCCATAAATAAGAACTAATCATGCTCACTTCGCTCGGCAAGCATGCCTAATTATTTTGCCGTCTTGAACTCTCCCATTGACTGATCAAAGTCTCGCTACAAATGCTTCAAAGCATTTGATGGACCAATTAGAAGAAAGAATTTTATAAATTGACCAATTAAAAAACACTTCAAAGCTTTTGTAGCATCGCGTTGACCGTACCTCTTGTATTTTTACATCATGATTGCCGAGTATGCCGTGTGGCAGTCGTGTCGTGTTCGCACTCGAACCTCAAAAGGACGGTTTCTCCTGCAACATCCGTGAATCTGACGAGAGCGAGTCCAGGTGAATTGACGTGAACCTGCGAAGAGACTTCCGACTCGTGAGCTCATTCTCGTGAGAGAATGGATGGTCATCAGGCGTCGCGATTTCTGGCGCTCGCGGCATCGATGAGTCTGCTCCTGGCCACGTACACGCCGGGCCACGTAGCCGGCTCAGGAGTGTTGCAGATACGCGGTATACCGGTGGCGAAGAACTCGTTGTACCGGCCAGACCGCGATTTCGAGTGCCTGGACGGCAGTCGGCTGATATCGTTCACTCGGGTGAATGATGATTATTGCGATTGTGGTGACGGTAGTGATGAGCCCGGGACAGCAGCTTGCGCCAACGGTGTCTTCTACTGCGACAACGCCGGTCACAAGCCCGCCTACATACCGTCATCATGGGTGAACGACGGCGTGTGCGACTGCTGCGACACAAGTGATGAGTACGCGTCCAGAGTGGAATGCATCAACAATTGCAACGAGCTGGGTCGGGAGGCCCGTTTGGTGCAACAAAAAGTGGAGCAATTAGCACGAGAGGGTAACAAGCTGCGTGTAGAGCTAGTGGCCAGAGGTAAGACCATCAAAACAGAACATCAGTCACGTTTGGCTAAGTTGAGAACGGATTACACGGAAGCGGAGTTGATCAAGAAGGAAAAAGAGTTGTTGAAGAAACAAGCAGAGGAATTAGAAAGCATAGCGCTTGAGAAATACAAACCAGCTGAAACAGAACAACCAGCAACTGAAGAAGCCGTTGGGGAGGAGGAAGAGGAAGACGAGGACTTAAGCGTTTCTGAAGTGGAAGATTATTTCAAAATACTGGATTCAGACTCCAGTGGTACAGTAACGCTAGTGGAACTGCAAACTAGGGCTACATTTGATAAGAATAGGGACGGTGCCGTGTCAGAGGAAGAAGCCTTGTATTTCCTTGGCGATAAGAAGGAAGTCACTTTACAAGAGTTTACAGATAACGCTTGGGCAAACATCAAGCCTTTCTTGATGTTGGAACAAGGTAGATAACATTCAAACTCACTATCTTTTTTTCTACAGTCTATAAACTATCAATTTTGATATGTAATTGCAGGTATATTCAAAGCGGCAAAGGAGAGAGGAGAGATAAATGAGCATCAGCCTACAGACGACTTGGATCATGAGAAGGAAGGAGAGATTCCTGATGGAGACGAAGAGGAGGTACCTGAGGAGGAACATGAGAAGGAATCACCAGAACCAGAAATTCAGTACGACGAGGAGACGCAGGCACTCATCGATGAAGCTACCAGTGCTCGCGAACGTTTCCAGGAGGCAGAGAAAGCCATCAACGAGTTACAGTCAGAGATTAGACAGTTGGAGGAGAAGCTAGGCCGTGATTATGGGTCTGAAGAAGTGTTTGTGTCACTTGATGGCGAGTGCTTTGAGTACACGGACTTGGAGTATATTTACAAACTGTGTTTGTATGCCATGGCAACCCAGAGGTCCAAATCCGGTGGTAGTAGCGTCAATCTTGGCCACTGGAACGAATGGGTCGGACCGACTGGTGCCAAATACACTAAGATGAAGTACGATCGAGGTCTCACCTGTTGGAATGGCCCGGCGCGTTCCACAATTGTCACTTTGTCATGTGGAACGGAAAATAAGCTCGTATCCGTAACGGAACCGAATCGCTGCGAGTATGCCATGGAGTTCTCCACGCCGGCGCTCTGCAATCCTAACGCAGCGGAGACTGCCGATAAGCATGATGAACTGTAAACTCATGGATTTGTATAGTAAAATGAAAACGCGATTAGTCGCACATACAATGTGAATGTCAGGCACTTAAGTTCTTTCGGTGGATCGCGAGATGCGAGCATCGAGTTGCAAGGATCGATAAGAAATAACGTTGAAATAAAAAAAGTCTTTCGCAAGTATTTCCAATGCAATCGCGATTAGTAATGTAGCTAGTAATCTTCTTTATTTCAATGAATATTTGTTCTTCAGTTGGGACTCAATATTACGTTTTTGTTTCCAGATTAGCTATAGTAGTCATTACCGTTTAGCATTTAGACGATAGAGTTCCACAGAGATTTCGAGACGTTATCAGTTATCGTACCTTTTTAATATCAAAATTTGTATTCTCTTAAAAATGAAATAAGATCATTACCATGGATAAAATACATTGTCAACGGAGCCTAGTCATGTGTTGGTTTGATCAAAAAATTCAATCGGTCTTTATTAATAAATCGTGAATCGTTCGAAATCGTTATAGTCCATTGACATGTTATATTATATATTTTACCGATCATTAACTCGCATATCATCGGGCCACAATATATTAATAAAAAAGGCGAAAAAATTCTTTGATCAACCTAATTAAATACAATACATGAATATCATTTAAATAATAACTTCAGTAATTTCAGTATTTTGAAACAAGAATAATAAATGTATTAAAAATGTTTCTGCTGAAATGTGCCACTATGTACGCAAATTACAACGATTATAATCGCGATAATTCGTCCTTGCATCCGAGAAGTTGCATAATATTGAACTTGATTCGCTAGCGATAAAGTAATTATCTAGAATCTTATCTTGTTTCATGAAACCGCAAAGACCATATTGTTACGCGCGAATTCATTGCCAACGTGTTAAAAAAAAACTCGCTGTTACATTCCTCTTTTTGTACACAAAGCGTTTCTACGTGATTTAAAAATATATAAAATCGTACGTGTAACGTCATGACTGACGTAAAAAAATCTGATTGAGATGTACTTTGTATTACTTAGTACACATAGCGTCACAAATGTCTTAATACATGAGTTGCACGAGTATCGAAGAAGGAATGAGAAAGCATGAGAAAGAATAAGAAGGCATGAAAAGGCATATTAAAATATTTGTAACGATGTGTGTACATGCCTCATACCGATAAGAGAAAAAAAAAGAATCTACATCTTTTTTGGGATTCGATTATCCACACGTACGTATAGACGATGTCCTAATGTTCCGCATTATACACTTAAGTCGGTGATTTTGTAATTTTTTAAGGACGCGCCACGGAAATGGCGCGAATATTGTGGGATGTGCATGTAATAAAAAAAGAAAAAGGGATTCTGTTGTCGAACCGTAATTTGCGATGGCAGCTTTATTTACATCAATGGAAAGAAAATCTGTTGAGTGTAAATGCGCGCGTGTATGTATGTCTGTGTGTAGAATTTCTCTTGTTATTCTGTATATTATTATATATAATATTACAGTATCGTGGTGGTTAAATCCAGTTTTCTCTATTTTACTCTAAGAGATAATCTTTGCATTTTGCGGGATCCGAAACGTACGTCCATTATTTGAATAATTAAATGGGAGGAAGGGAGGCAGGGAAGAGTTGATATTTCCCGCATTTCAGTTTCTCGATTGATTCGGTAAGGCACTTGAAAGGCTACAAAAAATCATTTCTTCCTCGCGAAATTCAAAGAGTGTAAAACGATATGCTCTATACAGCCTTTTCAACGCATTCTGGGTTAGCAAGAAAAATTGGGTAATCACATGCTATCGCCGACTATCGACAATTTCACAATTTTCCTTTTTATACATCCAGATAATCCTTTTAACAATTTTTTATAGGCATTTAATTAAATCGAGACAAGGTATCAATATCACTTAGTGATATGTTTCATCGATGAAGAATTGTAGGCTCATTTTAACATAATTCGATTACGCATGTAGGCAGTCTGCGAACAATTCGTGTGGGAGATTAATACGTTTCTTGTATAGAATAAACAGATTTTTCGAGAACGTCAAAAATATACAATTGCACACGTAACATTTCTTAGATCGTCGTAGCTTATATTTCACGTCTCTTCTACATTTATCAATGTTAATACTATAATGTGTGCCAAACATATATTTATATTTTTTTTTTCTTCAAAATCATTAAAGTGATAACGCACAACTTTATTATTCCTTTCATATTTACACGATACGGGATAATATACGATATTTATAAATGCATCACGCCGAAAGGATCACATCTTCGCTACAACTACTGTACATCTGCGAGTGAAATAAAGCTCCCTATGAGAATGTATGCATTCGCAAATGCGTTTTCGTGATGGTATAATCTCAAATGTTGAAGTTTTCAGTCGTATAAAAAAAAAACTACGAACATGAGAATTGAAAGATGTTGCAGGTGGGACTGATTTTCCCTATATCAACGACGAAGCACAGCCAATTATTAACGTGAATTGAAAGTTTTTTCGAATTTCCAAAATTAGACCGCGCTGTCGTGATTACATTTTGATTAATTAATATACAAATATACGAACAAATTATTTAGAAATAATTTAAATACCAAAGCATTCATTTTGGTACTTCAAAAATTTTTACTTTCTCTAGATATATATATATATATATATATATATT